GAGGCTTGGTGAAGCGTACACGACGGCGATCGAATCGACTGGCCTTTGGTTAAGGAGAACCGGAAAATGAGGCGAGGATCGGGTCATGCCACGCATCTCCAACGATTCAAGTGGGTAAGGCCGGTCGAGAGGCCCGAAACCGCCCCTGGTCCTCGTGTTGGTAGGAGGAGGATTCTCCAGACATACAAAGGCTGGCCCAATGATGGGTGGCTAGCTCGCTGGCACTAACAACAGCCTGTTCACTAGTCTCTCCATGGTCAGAGCGTTAAGTTACCCTGAGGCCCAGAGATCAAAAGATCCACTCCCACTCTTGTCTTCAGGGAGATGAGTGCAATGGTAGGGAGCACTGGCGGAATAACTACATGTAGGCAAGCACTACCGACCGGCATCGCATTGACGTTGCGACAACATGGTAGATCGTCGGATCCATCCGCTCATCTTTGTGGATTGTGCCCACAGTTGTGGGAGGCTTCAACCTCGGTTGGCATCCAAGCCAACGTCGATCAGCAACCTCTCGACTTGTGCTTGCTCTATATCCTTCCACCCCCTTCTTTCCATACGTAAATCCTCGTGGCTAGAACCAACCCGATGCGCTGCGAGAGCTTTGATACATCCCGTAGACCGACAGGCGAATGAATCAAACGGTGGCTGACAAGGCTGGTAAATGCATCGAGGTCTCGGGCCTGATTCCTGATCTCCTCGAACAAGACGTTTTCTGCCTAGTGGTGTCTTGAAGATTGATTGGCTGTTTCGGATAGGTAATGTGCGCCCATGGTTCGTGGTTCGTGAGAGGAGGAGAAGTGGGCCCTTGGAATTCATTGTGGTTCAGAATTTCTTTTCCTTCTCTTTTTGGCCTTCATCTATTATCCGTAGTTTGACGTCAGAATCGCCCCGAGTCTCCAGCATCGTGAATTTTGACCGGACAAAGTTGTATTACTCTTCCCTCTCGGCAAATTCGACCGAAAATGTGATCCTAGTCTTCCACGACTTGCCTTCACCCCTTGGCTTGGTGTTCTAGCCAACCCCTCCTTAAAAGGCGGCGGTGAGATTCGGGAACTAAAGGAGGGGTCACATTCCCAAATCAAAATCTTGAACTGACCTAGAAGATCCTTTGCTGCTCACCGCCCACTTCAAATGAGGGGATCGACGAAAAATTAGGAGGCGGGGGCCTACTTTTTCTCCTTCTTTTCTTCTTCTTTGGGCCGGCGTGAGCAGAGGAGAGACCGGACTCGAGGCGACGCCTTCAGGCATGAGACGCTAGAGGACTGCCGAAGCTACGGGTGGAGGAGGCTCTCCTCGAATCAGATCTTATCAACCAACTAGGCTCACAGGCTCAGAACAACGGCGTGAGGTCGGCGGTGCCAAGTTACACTACAGGCAATTCTCAAACAACCGCAACATTAAGTGCGGGCGAGCAGTTTGCCACGAGAGAGGGATACCAAGCAGGAAGTAGCATGTGGGCGCCTGTTGCGGCCCAAAAGTGAGGTCCTCGATCCTGACTGAACCCCAGTCCTCACGATTTCCTACAGGGACGAGTCAAAAGTCGCCCTCTTCTTCCCTGTCAAAGGTCGTTTGTTTCATCTTTTTGGCGGTGGCCAAGGTCTTCCGCCAATAGGGCGGCTGCAACGCGAAAGGAGCAGCCAGCCAATTGATGCCCAGCCCAAAATGCGAGCGGGACGTGTGGTGTGCGTGGCGTAACCGTGAATGATTGAAAGCGACGCAGCGCGGGCGCGCTGCGTTGGGGGCGGCCAGAGGCTATTGGTGCTGAGGGTAGTTGACCAGGAGCCATCGATACTTTGGGGCGAGTAGTAAGCCGTAAGATCGCGATTCTATTGGCTGGACCAAAATCGCCTAGTTGCCCACCTCGTCATTTCGCTCCGTCGCCAGACGCCAGTCGCCAGTCGCCAGTCGGAGCGTGTCTGCGTGGAAACCCGCCCGCTCCCCGTGTTCCCTCCCCGTGTTCCCTCCGTGTTTCCCTCCTCCGTGTCTCCCGTGAGGCGGGCTCGCGCGTTTGCCCTCCACTCCCTTTCCCCCTTGACGCACACCAGCCATCCCCCAAACGTGTACCCTTACAGGTTCTGTTGAAGCTGCAGGTTAGATATTGGGCCTGTCAGCGGAAAATGAGTGGTTCTCGACGGTTAACTCCACATCAGGAAGGCAAGATGGACCTCGAGGTGAATGGCGGGCATCGCCCCTCCCTTTCCGCTTACAATTGAACAGAGGGTTCACTGGCTCTCGCCCTACGAAATCGTGCGGTTTCCTGTCGCCCCGCAACCCGCACGCCTTCCCCTGCCTCTGGCCCCCACTATCAAGCGTTCGACGTTGTTGGGCCACGCTTTGAGACAGTCCAAGGAAGCTGCATGCCTACGCCAAAAAGGAAGATAGAGACAGGAAAAGGAAAAAGAAGTCGGTGCCTGTCTCAATGTCTTAACACCATTTGGAAAAGGATCAGTTAGGAGAAGACATCATGGATCCCTTGCTAACCCCACATATAGCCCGTTTTAGGAGCGAGAGGCGCCGATAGACGACCAAGAAAAAGAAAACCTCTGTTGGCAGAGCGTGCTCGCATGCGTGCCTGAGCGGAGGACGTGTTCAGGATCGGACCCATCCAACTATTCAATGATGATACGTACATGAATACATTCCCAACGCAAGCATGCAAGAGCGCATCCGTTCACAGAATAGTGAGAGATTGGAAAAAGCTAAATATACGTCCCGTCCTCCTCCATCTCGAGACGTACGAAAGGGATCTATGAACTCATCGTCCATCGTGCCCTCTTATCAACTCGAGTCAAATATCTCTCTGTATTATCCCATCTGTCTATTGCTGCTTACGCCCTTTGCGGGAATAATATCTCCATCTTTTGTCCCGTCATCAATTCGATTCTCCGGAATCTAGTTCCACCGGCTCTATCTGCGACGCAGAGCCTACTGATCCAGTAAAGGATTGTTCTGCCCACCTTCCAGAAAGCTTCAACCCCAGACCTTGTCTGCCAAAATCGTGGTTCTCCTTGATTAGGGATTACGCCGACTGTGGTCCCGTCCCCGCCATCCTCGCACATTATCCGCATCACAATAATCCCTCGTCGCTCACCATTTTGCATTCCATTCTAATAATTCGTCTTCTGTGCTGGTCACAGACCTTTTATTATTCCCGCTTAATCCTGCCTCCGCCCCCAACCAAACTTCATATCGAAACAGTCTCTGTGCTCTGATTCCGACTCAAAATACCCAGACACACGCCCCTACAGCCGAGGAAGAAGGAAAATAATTGGAATAAACAAAATAACAGGGAAAGGAAAAAAAAATATCAAGAGCTCTAGTTGAAAGACCTTGAAAATATTCACCGTCCAAGCCGCCTTCCTCCTCGCATAGCGCAACCCTTCGGTGCCTTCCAAGCTCGTATCTGCCACCTGCAATTCCCGGACCAAGTCGTATAGACTTGACACGACACCGACCTTCCCAACCAAGACGCACAAAGAGTCGCCACTCCGCAGCCTCTTCTTTCATTCGTACCACATTGCGCATCGACGAAGACAGAAGGCGAGAGAAATCAAAATCGATAGGCTTCATAGTTTTTTTTGCATTTCCCATCCTCGTCTACCGGCCCACCCAAGGTTCCCGACAGCCTGAAAAGGAAGAGTGGGAAAGAAAACGCCTTACAGGTCTAGATTGCCTCCTTGCTGGAATTTCGACTTTGTGTTTGACCTGCACTTTGCCGTTCAACCTGCCAATTTCGGAATCTGCCATTTTTCTTTAACAGCCGCGTCCAGCACTTTTACTTATCCCCCGATCATTCTGCGATATTTCGGTCTAATCTCATAGCATTCTTGTTGCTTTTGCTCTGACTCCGTCATCGTCGCTGTCGGCCTCTTACCTATTCCCGACAGCCGGTTCTTCACGGGGAATCTTGGAAAGAATTTGAAATTTACGGCGAGGCTCAGACCACTGACGACGGAGTGCACGTCGTAGAACCTGCTCAGCGTCGCAAGCCACATTACGACGACCGATCTTTTCCCTCGGTCTCCTCTCCCAATCCCAACACGAGCGACCTCCCTCAAGGACCCATTTTTGCTTGGCCAATCGCTGAACATTGGGATCGCTTGAACTCCATCAGCTAGCCCAGCACCGCTAACGCCGATTATCGACCCGTCTAGCGCGCCTCCTATTTTTCGACGGCCTTTCCCACTGCCCCAGCAGGCTTTCTCGTTCCCTGATTCCAGCCACCCCTGTCCGACGGGACCCAGTACAGCAATAACCTCGACAAGCTGCCTCGATATAATAATAGGTACATTCTTCGGGTACCGACACACACAAGCTCAACCTTCCCTGCAGGCATTTTATCGACGCCGTCGTGCCTGCCTTCGCCACACACCTTCCACGCAACTCACGTCCACGCAAACACACGCCCCCACCCCACCCCCTTCACCATTTTCCCGATTTAAAGCACGCCCCTTTGCCTTCCACACACCCCTTCGGGCTTAGCGTACCAAAGTACCCTTGGTACCCAGCGCCCACCCCCTCCCCTCGCACCCTTGTACTGCTGTGCCCCTGTCTTGGACTGCTTCAGTCGCTCCTTGACATAACCCACACCCACTCAGCCTCGTGCCCAGTGGCCTGCATCCCCATCCTCTTGTACACCCGTCATCCGCTCCTGGCATATGAGCCACTCCTCCCGAGGCATTTGCATTTGATATATATCGAACTTGCCTCCCACATCGAGACACCTTAGTCTCTCTATCTCCTGCACACATCACCTCTTCCCACGATCTTAAAGTCGTCCCCACACGACACTATCACCCCTCCTCCCCACCCCACCCTCTCCAAATCCTCAACCTCCTTTTTTATCCTCTCTTTCGACAACCTCTCTATATATCCCAGTCGAATCCACCTCCCCACCTTCGTCTTCATCTCTCGGACAAGTTTGGCTTTTTGCTTGTCAACCTATTTCGACATCTTCACTCACCCACCCACACATCCACCACACACATCTCTTCACAATGGATTCTACTCGGTTATACACCAGAGAAGAGCTCAAGGAGGCTGCTCTCCATGATCTTATCACCAGCAGAGTCGACTCGAGGATGATCAGCTACCTTGCCAAGGCCGCCGACAATGTCATTCCCTGTGACAAGAACATGATGCCGGCTCAGTCCCGGAAGAACACCAGCCCCGCTAACCTACCGACTCCCCCACCACTCCCGAGCTCCGCGCCGTCCAGCCAGGACCCTATGCTCCCTACTGTTGAGCAGTTCATCCGCCAGCTTGTCCGGTCCAGCAACGTTCAGGCCGCCACCCTCATGCCCACCCTCGTCTACCTTCAGAGGTTGAAGAACAAGCTCAACCCATGTCCCGAGGTCTCCGCTGCACTTCGCATCGCATCTTCCTCGCCTGCCTCATCCTCGCTGCCAAGTACGTCAACGATATCTCGCCCAAGAATAAGCACTGGGCCAGGTATACCAACATGGAGGGACCCACCTATCACTTTGGCTTCTGCACATCAGAGGTCAACCTGATGGAGAAGCAGCTCCTCCAGCTTCTCGATTTCGACCTCCGTTTCTCTGAAGAGGATCTCTACAACTCGTGGCGTGAATACGTTGAGCCTACGCGCCAGAAGATGGAAGACGAGAACAGGAAGACCTACTTCGCCTGGCAGGAGACCGCCATGCGCGCGGCTGCCACCCCCAGTATTCTCCCCGCTACTACTCGCAGTATGATCAGTACGCCCGAGCCTCGGTCAGCCCCCCAGCTCTCAGCTACGCCAGCTCCCCAACCTCGTCGACCAGCAGCCGGCCCAGCTCCCGAGCCACAACCCCGACCAGCGTTGACTCGGTTGACTATACCGATATCTACACCCCTTCGCAGTACGCGGGCTACGAGTATCCAACCGTTGCAGCCAATAAGGGCCAGAGGAAGCGACTTCTCCCCTACGAGATTACCGCGGAGCAGGCCATGGCTCATAGCATGGAGAACAGGACGGCCAAGATCCCCGTGCAAGCCGGGGAGTCTTCAGCAGGGTCTTTGGCAGTGCTATGACTGCGCGGTAAACCAACACTCGACCGCTTCTCTTCTCTTTTTCCTTTAAGAACCCTAGATGTTCAGTCGTTTCTACATCCACACAACTCTTTCGCTCGCCATTTCCTATCTATACATCATTTCTTTTGTGTCCATCTCAAAAGCGCGGAGTCGGCAATTCATTCGTTCACCATTCAGCATTTTTATCTATTTCCTTATCGAGGCTTCGGGAGGGTTTACTACCACAAATATTGTGGAATTTAGGCATCTAAGGGGACCGCCTTTCGGAACAGAACAGGTCATGGTACGGGATCGATGGCATATCACTACAGGAAGAGGTGTTCTTTTTTTCTCTCTGTTTCCCAAGGCTGGGACAAAGAGTGGTCGGTTTTGTTTCTTTTGGGTAGGCATGCATCTTGGGACAAGATTGGTTATATTACATGCCGATTCTGCGTTTTTCACCAAGAAGAGGCCGGGCGGGACAGTATGCCATGTTCCTTTTTTTCATTTGATTCCCTTCTTATATGCGATTTCGAAAGAAGTCTCATATCCTATTTTTCTTTTGGCTGAGGGTCCGACTCATTTGACATGGGCAACCCGTCGCCATTCTTATTCTTACATGATAATAATACTCTCAAGATTGGCAACATTCGCCTTTCTTCCTAATTATCCATTTCCATTCCCAATAGTGCATTGTCTCTCGTGCTATGTGATGGCTATCTACGAATTTTGTGTAAAGCAGGAGAAATATCGACTTGTGGCATGGCTCAGCAAGCTGCGGAGGAAACCCCTGCCTTGGGGCTTGGCCTCACAATCAGCCACGGACTCGTTTGCTAGGAAGTGGTTTTAGTGGCCTGCGGGCTTTCCTTGGTCTTGGAGAAGGCGTCGGGACCTGCTCCTCACGGGGATCCATCCATCCATCACTGATCCATCAGATTCATTAGAGCAAGACTTGTGGTTGGCCGCTTTTAGCTCCGGGAAATCAAAGAAACAAGAAAACAGCTGGAGGGTCAGTCGGGTCGGCCATGCGTGTGTCCTCGTCATAACATCAACATCAACATTCCCTCTGTTTAATACATGGATCCATGTAGCCAAGATGGGCTGCTTGAGTCGACATGGGCATCAATTTCAAGGTTGTTGATGTTTCTAGTTTGGAGAGAAGGAGGGGTCGGTGTGGACGGCTCGCCCCACCCCCATATCCCGTTTGGCCTCGAGTCGGGTCAGATGGGAAGCGGGAGGGTGCACATGAGGCCTTGTGAGCTGCCATGGATAACATTGAACCCACCCCTAAGCCCGAGCCTGCCCAAAACGGCGGCGGTCGTGTCGCTTCCGTGGACTTTTACTTTGTCCTTTTTCCCTCTTTGTTGTTTCTTTCTGTTTCATAAGAGGGCCAGGGCCAAAGTTGGGTTGCTTCCGTGATTACATGTCGGTTCAGGTATAGCAGGTGACGAGTGTGACGGTGCGACAGGGTTCAGCGAGTCCTCCCTTGCTTGTCACCCCTTGGTGTTTACGCTTTATCTCAATTTGTAGAAGTATTCAGTAAGAATCTGATGCTACAAAAATAAAAACTCCCAAGTCTGGTTTTGCCTTTGTGCGGTGTGCAATCATACAAGTACAAGCGGTGTTCCAGGTCGGGGTCCTATCTAGGGGTTGGGGCTTTTTGCACCAGCTTACACGACATCAAATGCTCGAGCCAGGCAGGTTGGCAGCAGGAAGCAGGGGAGGGGGAGGGGAGGGGGAGGGACAAGGGTGGGGGTTGGAAAAAGACACTAAGGATAGGTATCAACGAGTTGGTGTGAAGGTGGAGATCAGCGGCGAGGGGTCCGACGATCACGAGATGCTGACCTTTGGGCGAGAAGGTGGAGATGGTATTAAGACACGTACAGTCGGGTCGGGTTCAGTGACCCACTGGACTCACATCGTGTGTAGCGAGACGATGAGAGGACCTCACTACTTTGCTTAGTTATCATTAGCGAATCCGGTGACATAATGTACATTTGGAAGGACTGTCAACCTTGCCTTTGCCATTTCAGTCTTTTTTGATCACTTTGGACCCGAAGGATAATCCATTTATTACATCTCGCTGACCTTAGGAAGTTCGGGGCATCTTTGGTTGGAAGTTTCTAACCCTAACTTCATAAGATATGGAAATCTGCGAGATAAGCGAGGCATTTGTGGAAAAGGATGGTGATCTCTTCTTTGACCATTCCAAAATTATTCTCAAACATGGAGAAGAGTACTTGTACGCAACCCCCAGGTATCGCCTTCGTGCCTCTTCGAAAGTCAACCCAAACGAACTGGAGCTTTTCCAAATCCCTGTTCACAACATCTGGCCGAGGTTCGACGCGAAATTCACTCAAGCCCCCGAACCGAGACCTTCCAATTGTTACATCAAGCAGCCGAGTCTTTTGCATTATGGAAATACTGCCGCCTCGCTGCATACTAGTGAGCAAGTCTTGAATGAAGTTGAAGTCTGCGAGGTTTTGAGCAGGTGCCCACACCCAAACATTGCCCGGTACCTAGGCTGCATTGTCGACCGAAGCAGGATTAAAGGTCTCTGCTTTATAAAATATCCTATGACTCTTCCACAGAGACTGGAACATGGTGGCCAGTTCGATGCGCAATCTTGTTTACAAGGCATAAAGGAAGGAGTGACGCATTTACATGGGCTAGGTCTCATACATAATGATCTGAAGCCATCGAATATCATGATTGATCGAGAGGATAACCCGATCATTATTGACTTTGACTCATGTCAGTCAGAAGGAGAGAGGTTAGGTCTCAAGGCAGGAACTCGGGGTTGGGCGCTTGAGGGGTCTACCATTGCAAGGCGCGAGAACGATTATCACGGTATAGTGAAGATAGACGAGTTCTTGAAAGCCAATAAACAAAGCTAAATGTATCGTGTGCATATAATCCCTACCATATCCCTACCATCCTCCAGAAAAACTCAGGACCCCCCTGGTAGGGTGTCGAGGACGACAAAAACGGGGCTAGGCTGTCCAACCATTACTCCGTGACTCGATCGAAACGAGTATGACTGGCACAAAGGCAAGATGACGCTATCCGTTTGTTGAATTTCCGGATCGGTCCCGACCTTTTTATTTCCGAGCGGGCGGCGTGTCCGAGGAATAGGCTCCCGTGATCTGCAGTTTCCCGGGCAGCTGCTTGCCAGTGTCAGTAGTTTTTGGGGTTTGTATTGCAGTTGGCCCGCACATGTTGGCCCGCAGACACATCGGAGGCGCGCCATCCATGACATCGCGGTCTGAACGCCTTCACATGAGAGGGAGGGATGAACGAATGGATCTGATTCCCGCGGAAGCCGCACGCGGACTCGTAAGACTCGATAATTCCGCAGGGGGTGTGCGGATGGATCTAGACGTACGCGTTGCATTGATAGGGTAAAGTTAAGGAGGCCCACATCGCCACTGTACTAGACTAGACACGCCGGACGATGAACCAACTCCCTTCGTTGAGCTGGCTCCTCGGTGTTAGGCCCAACACGCTGTCCTTTTTTCTTCTTAGCTACGAAGTACGTAGAAAGGACAACGGTGTCAGCCCCAGCCTTCTCGTTTGCTGGCGAGGTGAGTGGATATAGGCAACACCGGAATACCTGGAGGCGAGGAAGCAGGGGTGGTTGGCTCAGGAAATCTTATTTTGACACGCCCAAAGGACCTTGCACCCACCCTGCTTCTTCTTGATAGCTCAAATGGCGGTATTAGGTTTCGATCATTCTCGCCAACCGATCGATGCCTAGCAGATTCAGAACTTGCCCCGCTTTCATTTTTTTAGTCGCAAAGGCTGGCTAAGTGAACGCGGGGTTGGGGTTGGGTTTCCAAGAAAGACAGATGGAGGCGTAGGCGGTTTGACATGAGACAGCTAACCTAAGTGGTCTGGAACCGTTGATCTGTCCATTGTTCCGGAGGCCTTTTTTTTTCCCCTCTTTTTTGTTTTGTTTTCTCCGCTGGTGGTGAAGACTCCCAAAGCTGGTTCCCTCATTGGCACCAGGGATATCAATCAGAAGGCGTAGGCAACCGTCCTGTTCGGCAGCCCATCTAATCCCCAGCGCGCCGGTTTTACTACAAGTACTTATCACAACGAGGGTAAGGAGGGAGGGGCGAGCACGAGCCATTGGATTGGCGGTGACAACCTCAGCCAAGGGGAAGTTCGCAAGCTCAGGCCGACCGCTTCTTCGATTCTAGGAGCCCCCTACTAATAATACTTAGTCTATCCCTCATTTCACCCTCCTCTCAACAAGGGCAAGGGCGCGCGCAGGGAGAGGGGCAATTATGGAAGGAAGCACTTTGATCGATGAGCCAGATACCTGAGCCAGATACCTGGAGGAGAGGTGGGAGGTGCAGTGTGCCATACCATTTGATGGTTCGTTGCCAGACTTGAGGGTTTGGTTGGTGTCTGTTTGGTGGGGAACCCGCCGGCATCTTCCGCGGTTACGGGGCAGGGTCGGCGACTGGTCGTGCTGTGTTGGGATTGGCTCTTGATGTGTGAGCGGATCATGGGATCCAGACTCATGGAGTCAGGCTGGCACCTCTAAGCTACATTTTCTGAACAGTATTCATACAAGTATTCACTAACCTCACAATTCTCCGCATTCACCACAATCTCGATATGCGATCAACGAGGTGGCTCCACAGCAGCGGGAATGCTTACTACACTACATGTTTATCCTTGTCGAGGGGTAGATGAATTGATCCATGACTTGCTCTGTAGTCTCAGGGTTGTTTTCTTCCTTGCCATGGCTGGCCACCGACATACAAGTATTCCTCGAAAAACTGGGTGCAGAGGCTGGCTGGCTCAGCCGTTGTGTCAACCTTGTAGCGTTCCATCTATGGGCCTGCTAGCGTGGCCGAGTCTGAATCTCTATCAATAGACTCGCAGCTCACAATTTGAGGGTTACGTTCACCTCCTTGTCTACCGATGGCTTGGGAAACTACATGTAGCACGCTATTATCTGGAGGATCAATGTGTTGGTTCCGCGTTCCGCTCCTGAGGGAACCCTGCGC